GGGGAGACATCTGTTTTTGTTTTTTAAACCAGGTGGTGAATGATACCCTTGTGCCTATGAGGGAGGAAGTTTTATTGTATTTGAGTAAAGTTTTATTGTATTTTGAGTACAGTTTGAGTACAGAGAATAAAAAAGTGCCCAGCACAGATGTCAAATTAGAGAATAGTATAATAATGAGAAACTAGTGGTACAACACCACTGATTCTGAGGACAAATCCATCTGTGGTAGAATAAAGGGCGGCTACCTCTGGAGCAGAGGGTCAAACACAGTAGTGAAAATCCAGGGTATTATACATTAAAATCAATACCTGGCAAAATCTGTCAACATAAGTAGATGGACATTTTCAAGTGGACGTGTAGCAACAATACACATGAAATGGCACCTGGTCATATGATATTAACAGGTTTATTGAATTGTACTTACAAATGGAACCCATTCGGAAGGCATTCTCAACAGATGGGACATTCACCATCAAGTATCTCATAAAAAATACAGCTACCCGCCTTTGAGAGATATATTACAGTTAACTTGATCCTGTGCACAGAAAAACCATTTTGAGACTTCACATGTCGTGAATGGGTTTATTTCTATTTGTATAGCCAAATCATTCTAATCTCATTACATATTTTCCATGTAAAACACCAGTTGATGCTAAAAATCACTAACAGCCATGGCTGACAACTGATAAATTTAAATATCAAATTAGCATATAAATCGCATGCAGATATGCACTGTAATGATTTGTAGTCTGGACCCTACAATGTAATTGCTGTGTCAAGCTAATATTCAATTAAATGTTACTAGAATATAACAACGGGGTCATTAATGTCCAGTTAGAATTCAAGTAAAATTCAGCATGTTTGGAATGCCTTGAGATTTTTAATGAAAGAGCAACAATGTATGAACCGTGCCTTCAGCACTGGTAGTCAACATAATGCACTATAGAGTGCCTGTTCAGAATTATCAGCTTGGCTTTTTCAGAGACAGCACTGGCTCAAAGAAGCCCTATGCAAAGGAACTTGAGCATAATAGAGACTCATAAAAACACGTATAATCTTAATGCTGCCTGTGAGGAGAGATACAGAACACTGTCTCCCCAGCGACTCTGATGCCTGCCTCTTGGCTATTTATCCTAATACTTCTGTCAAATCGCCATCTTCAGATACTGTTTATACGTCTGTACAGGAATTATGTAAGTCCTTCACTGTGTGTTACATAAAATACTGAGAAAATTCTCCTATGAGGTCAAAGAAGGGGGGACATTTAGGAGGAAATATGTCTTGTCAAAGATCTTGAAGACAAAAACAGAATTAATATAAATAAATCTCTTTTCCACACAGTGTCAAGTAAAATTATTTCCTCACACAACAGGACATTCACTATTTATGCCATGCAGATTCCCACAGAGAGGGAGATTTAAAGCTGAGAAGTAATCGGCAGCTGCTTATCCTTATGAGGCTTTCAAATGTTTTCATTCCAAAGAGACAAGGGGAGGAAAATTGTTTCAATTTTTGTGTGGGCGAAATGCCAGAAAAGTAAATATATAAAAGTGAAAATTCACTACAGACAGGTGTGTATGAATTATATATCAGGCAGGGACATGCCATGACTCTGAGGGAAAGAAATCATTTTCAAAGGAACACACCATGGGGTAATTTCAAGATTTGGCTGTACTTCTGCAAATCGCTCCATTTGATGCAAATGTGTTCATTTTACATTCATGACTGCTCTCAAACACAGACAACTACTGTAATGCGTTTATGACCCAGAAAAAGTGGTATAAAAGTGGTATAAATTTATTTTATGTCTAGGGAATGTCGTCGGGGCTAGACCACTGCCTGACCCAGGAGAACAACCAGGTTCTTTTTTCTTTGGAGGAATCCACCCAGCCCCCTCAAGCAGACCCAGGTCACCGTAGTGCATTTCAGATCTGCATAGGTAAATAATTAATGAAAACCCAGACAAACACCAAGTATGGACAGACTCCACCTGTTGCTGACCCCACCCCCAGCCCCCTGTATTCTCTTCTTACTCTCCTTGGCTGCCTTGTCATTGCCCAGACACTTCAAGCAATGTACCACATTGTGCATACTCTGGTGCTACAAAACACCACAAATAATTCTTTAGCACTATAACCCTGAAAGTCCCACACTTTAAGCTCCACCCCCAACCCCATCATACCCTTGCCACACAGCTTCTCCTTCCACCACAGCCCCCATGGGAGGGCTAAGGTACTGCAACACAGGAGCCTGCACACTACCATGAGCTCTCACACACTCCAAAGGAAGGAAATGGGGTTGTAGCGTCAGTCTGTGCCACTCTGCTCCAAAATAAAAAAAGAAAACCACAAACAGAAAAAGATGGTGCTCCCTCACTCTGGTCCACAGCCCTGGTCTCTCTGTCATGTTCCTCCACTCTGCAAAGCCCTTGACAAACTGTCTGCCCTGCCAACAGGAAATGCACCTTGTGAGGGAGGAAGGAAGTGGCCCAGGTCAGCAGCACGGCCGGTCCACAGAGGAGGGAGGGGACCTCATCAGAACTGCGCTGCAGGGCTCCACCCCAGCTGACCCGGTGCTGTAATGTGTGCCTGTTTTTTATCTTCCCCAAGCCACCAACCCAAATTACTAATCTCTCCCAGGTGCACTCGATAATGCCCCGCCTCTCATTCTAACCACGGTCTCCATCCTTGCTGATGGAGGGCAATACCAAAACATCAATCACAAGTCAAATTATTTGAAGACATATTCCTTTTATGTATGGGAACGACTTCGTTTACTTATATTTTCATATTGATACTTGCGAAGAACAAAAAACAGATAGGGTTTGTATCATTATTTGTGGCAACCAGAATACACAATATAGTTATTCAAAGTACCAAATCAAACACTTGAATCTCAATTACCACAGAAGATGCACAGACACCCTATTACTTTTAACATAAAACAATCATTTTATTTTAGTCCACAGTTAACTTTGAATGGAGACTAATGTGTGAAAAGGATCATTTTTTTCACTAAAACATATCCTGCCTTGGCGCCTGACAGAAAAACAAAAACACAGAAATGAGGAAACGGCTGTCCTCCCATTTTCTTGCTCAACTCAAATGTGATGTGAATTATTTATTCCGGTGCATGTGACTGGGCTGGAATGGTATTGATTGTGGCCTGGATGTGCGTTTTGTCCAGTGTAACTATGAATACAGTTGCAGGCATTGGTGACTGGCAGATTCACAGATTATGTTCTAGTTCATGGTTCACTTGCTACCATCTGTAATGTTGGCCAATCTGAAGCTCTTAGGCTGGTTTTGTAACAAGGAAATAGGTTCATGCATACAATGCATGCTGCTCTATTTAGAAGCTTGCTTTGAAGTTGTGAAATAATGGTTATTCAAAACTGTATTTTGATCCTTGTTGTTTGTAATGTTGTGTCATAAACAATTTATCTGACAAATTGCTTCTCGGTTTATTTCATTTGTTTGTTTTGAATACATAATCAAACACTTTAAAGGTCATACATTCATTGAGAAAACAATGTTAATAAACATTTCTGTCTGTACAATACTGACACATGATGAGCACTGTTTAGATACTGACAGAAGACAAGCACTGATTCATAAGCATCCTTACAACGTTAATAAACAGAGTTCAAGAGCAGGATTCAAATGAGATAGGGAAAGTTTAATTTACATTACCAGATGAAAGGTTCTGCATGAGGCTAATAACAATTAACAAAGTAATTCAAGATTATACTACAGGAGGTACACAATTAGTATACAGAATATAGCCTCAATTATTACTTTTTTACTTTAAATTTTCTTTGGACTTCTTTTTAAAAAATGAAAGACAATTTCAGGTAATGATCTTCCACTGGCAGGGAAGGTCAACAATTTATTTTGCTCTACCTTCTGGCTGCAGTTTCTCAGTCTTTGCCTACTGGATCTCTGCAAATGCCTTCCAGAGTTGTCGCTGATACAGGCTGTTTTCAGGAAAAAATCATGCTGGAGAGTTTGACAGTGGCAGTCCACCCCAACATACTCCAAGGGGAACCCACAGAAGCAGTGCATAGCCTGAGAAAGGCGGAAAAGGCTTCTATCTTTCATTACATTACATTCATTTAGCAGACTCTCTTATCCAGAGTGGCTTCCAGCACAAAGGAACAGAAGTGTATCCATTCAAGTTGAATGAGTAATCGTGTCAGACCAGGCTACTACTCCCAGACCAGTGAGGGTGGGCATAACACTATTCAAGTCCTACCACAAGTTAACTTGTGCAACCTGGCTAGACAAGGGAAGCCAAGTATACTACCATACATCAGTCACTATATTGAGAATCCACATGGCAATACTACACATAAAAATAAACAGCAGGTTACACAAGTAGCAGTGTTAGGGGGTGGGGATTGAGGTGGAACTGAGATGCAGTCTGAAGAGGTGGGTCTCTTCAGTCTGAGTCAGAAGATGGCCAGTAATTCTGCTGTCCTGACCCTGACCCTCACCTGAATCTTGTGATATCCCCTTAATCACAGATGTCTGAACTTCTGAGGTGTCAGCTTATTGCTCAAATATAGTAGACTTCTCCATGATAGGTTCTCCCAATACTTTAACAAAGCATGGTAGTTCTGACCAGCAACATGGCTATCCTGGGTGCTGCCTCTGAATGGAAAGTCTACAGCCTTCTGTGGTGGGTACAATGTGTTCAATGAGAATTTCATCCTTTAGATGCCTCAATCCAAAACAAGTGATGGCCTTTTCTGCTACCAATTGTTCTGCCATTTCTCCAGAAACTGCTAGATAGAATGTCATCATCTACAATTACAGCAAGAGGTACTTTTTTAAAATTATGTATTATTATTTAGCAGATGCTCTTATCCAAAACAATTTGCATCCATGTAGGTTACACTATTACCCAAAGTTAGTTACATAGGCTACTTTTTTATCCGTTTATACAACTGGATATTTACTGAGGCAACTCTGGGTTATGTATCTTGCCCTAGGATACAGCAACAGTGCCCGGAATCAAACCAGCAACCTTTCAGTTACCAGCCTTGCACCTTACCACTACACCACACTGCCACCTTTGGCAAGTGTTCTTGGCAAATGTATTTTCAGACCACATTGTAGTGGAGGGAGTGTTATCAGGAATCCATTGCTTCGTATTCCAGTTTCTAAGGGCAGCCCATAGCTCCAACCACAAAGAGCCCAGTCTCTGCTTCTGGTATGCGGACACCATGTTGTCTAGTGAAACTGAGATTTGAGCTGCGCTCTGTACTGTCAATGAAAACATCCTTCCTGCTGACAGTTACTGGAAATAATTCTTACTGAAAGTGATGTCAACTTCTTACGTCAATCAAACAATTTAACTGTCACTTTTCTTCCGGTTGCCAGGCTGCTCTGTGTGGAGGAGGATGGCATGTTCTCAGTTTAGCCTTATCAGGCTGACTGTATAGTTGACAATATGGTGTATGTAACTCCTTGTCTTTTTATCCCTGGAAACTATAGGCATATTCCATCTGAACAGATTCTTCTCTGTATTTAGGGGTAGGTCACTATCTTGAATGAATGGCAGCTACCAGCACTTTCCAGATTGAACAGCTTTAATATGGAAATATCTAATTGTATTGGATTCACTATGCTGACCATAACACATTTCCAATTCATATTTCTTTTAAGCATTCCCCAGCCTATTTTAGCTCAGAGTTGTTTTGATGGTTTTCAGAGTTTGTGTCGCAGAATGTCAGGCACTGCGTTGTCTTGATGATTCAGATTATGGCGATTGCTAAAGTTATCATTCATTATTAGAAAATAGTTTGGATAATATTGCAGTTACACATGCATAGCTTTGTGTCTGCTGTATTTGTGGAGCATTTTCCAGCTCAGGGGAGTTTTATGCCCTGAGCGGTGCCTCAAGGTAGTTGCAGAAAGCCCCCCCCATGCAAATCCTTCCATCTCAAGTGTCAATACATGATATGCACAGCTCTGCATCCTCAGGGCTGCAAGCAGTTTTCAGTTCCTACTCAAAAATGGATTCATCAATAAAGAAAAAAAAAACTACAGCTAAACTAAAAAATGTAATGGAACTCCATAGAATATTTATTCCCTACCCTGTTACTTCTAGTGTATGCGGCTAAATGGAGTCAATGTTTCCCCCGTTACTAGTGGTAGGACAGTCACTGAGCTCACAGAGCTAGTGGAAACTTGGTTTAAGATATGTTAGGAAAAACAGCTGTATTCCTGTTGTTTTATGTGCGTGTTAATGTGTTCCAGTGTCAATTTAAGCTTCTGGCTTGTAACACCCCAGCCTTATCTTATTGTGGAATCCTGTGTAGTATAACAGTCAACAGCTTATTTTTGTTTGGCTGCTGTAAATTTCTGTGCTGGATAATCAGCCGCTTTATTATGATTGTTACCAAAGCAATTGGTATTCAATGGTTTTCCTCCTTCACAGAAATACTTTCATTTACAAATGTTTCATTTATATAGCAAATACCAGAGGACACAAACCAACACAGAAACACACACAGACACATGCACATACATGCATGCACACCCTCACAGTATTTTTTTTTGTGGATACAATGAGAAATTCTCATGTTCTGGCCACTTTTTCCCCACATTACCGGCTGTGTCCTTAGGCGTCCCCCAGGCCCCCTGATCAAATGGCTTGGATCCTCATTTGCCAGATGTCAATATGGTATGTGACACTGCAGTAAAGTGACAGTCATTGACCACCATGAATAGATGAACGTAATGCAATCCGTGAATCAGACTGAATGATGGGCAGTGGCTGCACCCTCTCCTCAGCCAGATTTAGCTTGGTTGGGGGACACGGGGGGGATATCTGCTCTAGCCTGTGACGACGCTTTATTCTGACAGGACTCATCACCGTCAGCCCTGCTCATGCCTATTCATAGCACGGCGGGGGGAAAAAATACATACAAATAGGCCTGGTTAGTGCTGAGTAGTGCCAGCGCAAATAATGTCTGAGGATGTTTTCTATAGTTGAGCTTGTGTACACCAGTTTCATTAGACATACTTTGTTTCATTGTGCGTATGTGATTTATGGGCAGGTGTTACTGATGTGCCAGGCTGTTTTACCTAAAACCAATTAGAGATGCCTGTAATTGGTTTGGAAATCAGACGGCATTAACAAGCATACCCTTTACTCCCTGAAACCACTTACTGGACAGAAGTCTGTCTGACTTTTTCCAAGGGTGGCATGGTAGTTACTCAATACTACTCATGAGACAGGTGTTAATTGCAGTTCTCAAGCAATAATGACTCCAGTATGTCGCATCAAATTCACTGTTCTGGACATACAACAAGCTGTCCACAGGAAGGCACCGAATGAAACAGTGGCCATCACAATTACAGTGGTTACAGTGAAGGCGATCTTTTCTTACATCAATAAATGGCCACGCTGAGAGGTAATGAAAAAGGGTAGGAATAAACTTTAGCTCCTATGTGTGTTAAGCTGGGCTCTGTGGAGAGAGTGGGAGTAAATGTTTCTGCAGTCCACTGAATAGGAAAGAAGAGGAGTGGCGAAGCTCTTCCGTGTTAAATTAATGATGGCAGAATTCTCGTGAGTCTGCCCTTTTATGTTGTGCGACTGAATAAATGCAAATAAGGACACTACTAATGGTGTTCCTCTCTCCAATTTCCACCTTAGGCTTGTCTTATACACATTAGGGAGAGGAAGGAGATTTTCCATTGATGCTGAAACTGGTTTTGTCTGTGAACCGAATGTTAGGGGAAAGACCTATAAACTGCAGCATTTCACGTATTACTTGTTTATTCTTCTTCTTATTATTATTATTAGTAGTAGTAGTAGTATTAGTACTAGCTGCAGTAGTAGTAGTAGCTGTAGTAGTGGTAGTAGCCGTAGTAGTAGTAGCCGTAGTAGTAGTAGTGGTGTTAGTAGTAATAGCAGTAATGTCCTTGTTACTGATGTTATTGTGAAAGCAGTATCTAAAGGAATATATCTATATTGATGTAACAGGACATTTTCTAAACACAATTTTCTAAAATCTGAATTATCACTTAAAGTGTATGTGTGTTCATCTGTGTGTATGTGTGTTCATCTGTGTGTTTGCCCTTGTGCTTTGAAAGAATTTTTGACATGGAGGACAAAATATCTTTCCATTTACTTACCTTTTACTACTTTTCTATTTTCTGTGATTGGGCTAGGATAAGGCAGTGGGCCTAGTAGTTGGTGGGATGTGTGTGGGGGGAAGGGGGTTGGTCTTTATGGTAATGGTTTGCCATAGGGCTGACTTCTACAGCTGCATTTTTTGTCAATGAAAAGATGTGTACTGTACGCATAATATGTGAAAATGGAGATGTCCTTACAAGGGTTAAGGGTGGGAGCCAAAAAGGCTCCCCAAAAAAGCTCTTCTATTTTCCTCCTTTATTGTAATTGTATTATTGTACAGCAGTGAATGGATGTGAGCTCTTTATCCCAAGAGAGACTCATCTGAGAAAGATTTTTACAGCTCATTTGCAGCATTTTCATGCAAGAGGGAACCTTTGTCTTCAAATCATCTTAACAATGCAGAGATAAGGTGCCAGCGCTCGCTAACGTCTGACATGAGGTACTGAGAAGTGTACAATACTCAGAATACCTCAAATGGATTCTGCTTTAACACTAAGCTTTGGTGCTGAGACATTTTTGGAATGACTCCAAAAAATTCTTCTGTAATGCCCCAACAATATGGCAAACACATATCCATGAGTGGAAAAAAGAAGCCATTTCATTCCCAGTGGTAGGGTTTGATAATTAAAAGCTTCATCTACAATCAATCTGCATGTTATCCCAAAATACAACATTGCAGATGTTGACTACATGTAATGAGTGTTTATATATGAAGTCGCTTTGAGCAGAATCCACAGAGGGAAAGACTGATGCATCATGGCAGGCAATCCCAGCGTCTGGAGGCAAAGTGACCTTTCCCCTCCACATGAAAGTCACTTCTCTACCGTGGCTGTAGCTCTTCATCTTACTGGTACTAGGCGGGGACACCACGGTAAATGGAATATACTGTGCCAGGGACTCTCTCTAACTGTGTTCAGTTACTTTAGAAGCATTGTATTCCTCCAAAGAACTGAGATGTGAGTCTTGATCGGATTCCATACATGAGAAGGCTTAAAGGCTGATCTGCCAGAGAGGGGAAAACCACAATGATTTTGAGCTTGGATCCATGTTTAAAGTCCCAAGAAATTAAACTGTAGAGGACAAAAATAGATTTACAGTGAGAAGGTTAAAAAAATCTGGCAGCAGTGTGGCGTAATGGTAAGGAGCAGGGCTTGTAACCAAAATTGGTTGTTGGTTTGATTCCCCGCTGAGGCACTGCTGCTGTACCCTTGGGAAAGGTACTTAACCCAAAACCGCCTCAGGGAATATCCAGCTGTATAAATGGATAACATGTAAAAATCATAACCTATGCAAGTTGCTCTGGATAAAAGCATTTGCTAAATGACAATAATAATAACGAATGATCTGAGAAGGATATACACAGGGAAAAATTCACTAGCTTCTATTTGAGTTGATGAGTTTTACTGAAGATCAGGACACAATTATTAATGCTAGTTCAGTGATTAATGTAGAAAAATGCCAGTCATATCAATGTAATGTGTGGCAAAAAAGTGTCTAAGGTATTTATGTTTGTGACACTAATCTAAATTTGGTTCATTTTATTACATAACCAAATATAAGCCTGCAAGGTACACAAAGGTGTAGAGCTGTCAATATCAGCCTACTTGTCACAGAAGTTTGTAAAATAATGAGTTCAGGAGGGTAGTTTAAAGAGGAAGGAATGATGCAGCTTATTCATATTATCGCAGCGTGGGCAAGCAACACAGAGAAGCACCCTGGGGTATGTTTGCAGAGACAATTTTTACATCTTGGCATGTGGTAAGAAAACAGTGGTTATGATTAAATGGTTCTTTGCCTATTCATATTTCACAGCATAAGATTAGGAGCAATTAAAAATAGAATGAAATTTGTCCTCTTCAGATTTAATGATGCAACACAGAAATACCACAGCATTTTTCCCCTTATCTAATTGCAGTGCCATGAT